GGGTCACCTCATTAGAAAGCAAGTGCTCTATCCCTTGAGCCACGGAGAATTGGGATTCGATTCCCTGTGCTGACACCGCAATGCTTCCTCTCTTTCCTTAGACACACAAAGTGTTTCCAGTGTTCCGCACTCCGCAATTTGTGATCCTGGCCTGTTAGAATACCACACTCTTATTCAGACATAAATGGCAGCACCATAAAGTTGTTAAACTATCTCCAGCGTCAACTTAACTTTTGTTTTTACTGTTTTGAAATCTTGTTAGTTGTAAAAGTTTAAAAAATTTCATAGCTTTGTATTCATTTTCTTAATCATACCAGTAGTGAACAGTAATTAAAAAATGAAAAGTATGTAAGAAATGTTCTTTTCCGTAAACTCTTTGCGGTTAGTTGAATAGACAGGCTACTGCCGAATATTTAATCTCAATTTTAGAATGAAAATTCTGACAGTGGAGGATATATAGTAGTGAAGCTCAAAAACAGCTCATATAGCTCAAAACAGCTCATATAACTCAAAAATACGAAATATATGAATTTTAACGGTGCTTCTCCTCTTCTTATTTCTCTTGCTAACCACCTCGATTTCTTCTCAATCATCTGCCAAGTTTCGTTACATTAATTGTCCTTCTTGCGTATTTCACGATCTCAAAGAAATCGTATTTTAAAACAACACTGTTTCACAAGAACTGTTAGATATAGATTACAATAAAATTATGTATTTTCTCATTCAAAAATCTCTCAAATTCAATCCATGTCATATAGATTGAATTGTTTTAAAATGTTTAAAAGATTTTAAAATTTAAAAAGTTTTCTGACTGCTAGTAATTAAATTAATAATAAATAATTACAAAATTTTTTAACGTGTAATCCTAATTAGGAAAAAAAGTTTTATAATTGTATGCAAAAAGGAAAAATGTTTTTTTGTTAGTTTTAAAATTCGGGGAAATATATTCAATAAGTGAAATCTACAAGGATTTAACTTTTTCGCTAAACAATTGAGATCATATTTTCTTGGTTACGGCAATCTCGCAATCCATGTTTTGAAATTCAAGAAACTGAACTCATCGAAAAAATAAGTGTTTATTTAAGAGAAAGTACACTTTTGTGTCTGATTTTTTAATTCAAAATAATTTATAACTGCTTTAATTCATATATTTTAAATTAAGTCCTTGCACCCTTACGATAGAGACCTAGTACGTGAAAATAATTTCATTAGATCAAGGTGCTCGCATTTGCTTTTACACAGGGTATATGCGTCCACATGCACTCAAAAGTATTATATCACACTGCTGGAATTTTCTTTTTAAAATTATGGTAAAATTACAGGCATCAGCCTGTCCATCCAATTATCTATAAATTGCTGGTAAAGAAATTTTTCTACTTTTACTACTTTGAAACCGTTTACAACTAATATGATTATAAAGCCATACACGTTTTTAACATTTACAGCAAGCATGGTTTCAAAACCATAAAGAAGAAATTTAACTGGGCATTGGAGCTAGTCTTTTAGTTAGGTAATATGCATCGGTGAGGGCAAGACACTGAAAACTTTTCACATGTTGAAAGGAAGAGTGGAGTAAATATCGTGGTGTCAACGTTGGGACTTGAACCCTCGTAGCAGCGTTCATGAGACTGAGCGAATAGTCCTCTCGGGTATAATATGTACCCAACTGCAAGGAACTAAGTTGATTCATAAGACGGTCTTAGTTGGTGAGATAAATTTTGGTTGTTTTACCGTATTAGGTAAAAGCCGTTAATAAACGGGTTTTTTTTCAGAAAATACCATCTTATTTATGGTTATTCAACTATTTTGTTTGAATATGGTAAAACAGTAATTAATCAAGTGTAGGATTGTAGTATTTACAGTAGAAAAAAATTTGGAACATTATTTTTCCTAGCTTTTGATCCTGAATTAAATAAAATAGGAAAATGTCGTAAAAATTGAATGTATATAAATATTTTATTAAAATAAATTCGCTGTTTTAATTAAAAGAAATTTGTTTTGCTTGTTTAAAGAAATTGCATATTATTAAATACGAAAGTAAGTGTTTATACACTGTACTTTACAGTTATTTCGTATGTTGTAAATGAAAAGAGAATTTATCTCCTTGCATGACACATTAGATCTGTGCAATTCGGAAGGCCATCTATTCTATGCGTCAAATTCTTTGACGTTGACGTCATGAGTTGTTTTGCTCTAAAATTTCTCCTTTTACTACTTTAGTTTCTTTCTTCTCGGCTTCCAGTTTTTTTCTTTCCATCTCTCCTTCCGCCTTTCTGCGAGAAATGTAATTTACAGATTCCGAAACATTTTTGCCCAAACGTCAATTTATATTCTTTTCTGGCAATCGCTATCTTGAGAATTTCGTTTTAAAGCCGTTCTCGTGTTGCCAATTTCGGTATGGCATTTCGTTATTTTTTTAGCATCAATATTTCTTTTCAGAGAAAACTTTTCGAACCCTCAAGAAAAGAATGCGCATGTTTAAGAAAACGCTTAGACTAGCAAACGTGAATGGAATTCATTACAGCTGCAAGCATATTATCGCGCCATTTTCAAACTCAATTATTCCAAAACTCTAATGACAGCTTACTTTATACTTAAAGTTCAGAAAATGCAATTTATTCTCAAAATAATTCGACCCTTTAATATGTTTTCATGAGCTGTTGTGACCAAACTACTCTTTAAAGTATTTTATATAATTTGGGAGATTTTTATAAATTTTTCCGTTAATTTTTAACTATCATGGACTTCCTTAATTACAAACTTATTATTGTAGTACTAACTTAAAGTGTATAAAATATCAACTGCAAGAATATTATCTCATAATATATTCAACTGGAAAGTTGCATTTCAAATTAAAAAACACACAGCGAGTGCAAACAAATTATTATCTCCTTTCCCCAGTTACAGCTAATTTCGTTTAGATTATTTATATTGTTACATTATAAAGAGTATACTTATAGTGTCACATTATATTTATATTGTCACATAATAAACAAAAAGATGCTTGACACTTTCAATAATAACAATTTATTTTTAAAAAATCTAAAACAAATAAAATAATATTAATTAAAATTTTGGAAGAAATACATGTAAATTAAACGTTCTTAAAATACATCGATATGCCAGTTGTCATTGCTAATATCGCTTAAACACGTAACTAATAAAATTAAGTTAAAGTTACATGCGCTACCCCGTGATGCTTTTAAATACTCATAAACCCTAATTATTGTCTTCTATTTTTGTGATTTTAATATATTTCGAATGTGAAAATTACGATTTAGTATACATAAACTTTTTTTTTATTTTGTTTCAAAACTTCTCTTATTTGTTTACTGTGAAAAAAGGATTTCTCAATATTGAGCAAAAATGTGTAAAAATAGCTCAGAGGCAAATATAGTAGAATTTAAAAACCCCATATATTCAAAATTGAAACAGCATACACTAAATTTCGAGCAAAATGCATAGTCTCAAAAGTAATGTGCACTGTTGGAATTTTCATTCTAAAATTATAGTAAAACAACCGGCAGCAATCCAATTGACTGTAAAGTTTACGGTATAAAACCTTTTTTACTTCTACGCTTTCAAAACTCTTAACAACTAGAATGATTAAAAAAACATGAAAATAAGATTATAAGGTCTTTTAGCCATTTGCAACTAGCATGTTTTCAAAACCATGAACCAAAAATTTAACTAGACATTGGAGATAGTCTAGCAACTTTATGGTGCAGCCATCTATGCCTAAATGAGAGTATGCTATTCTAACGGCACAGGGTCACAAATTGGGGAGTGATGGATATTGGAAACACTTCATGTGTTTAAGGGAAAGGAAACATTGTGGTATGAGATCTGGGACTAGAACTTTTGTCTGTCATAAGTTTAACACATTAGCCCTCTCCACAATAATGCTCACCTATCTGCAAGGAACTAAGTAGATACATTAGGTGGGCCTAGTTTGAGCGATGTTATTCTGGTTGTTTAACTGTATTAGGTGAAAGTAGTCTGAATTTTTCTCACAGTTAAGAGTTTGAATTCCATCTTATTTATGGTTATTTGACAAGCCACCATTGCATTGATGTGCATTGGTCGCCACCAATGCCCATCTCTCTCTTATATTCCTCCCTCTACATCACTTTTGAGACTATGCATTTCGGTCAAAAATATGCTGTTTAAATTTTGGATACATGAGATTTTCAAATTCGTCTGTTTTTTGCTTCGAACTATTTCGACACATTCGACTCAATGATGAAAATAGTGTTCTAATCAGCTGTTTCATGAAGCATTTTTAGTAAACATATCAAAAAAATGTGTGAATAATTTTTTTCAAAGATAAAAGCATCTCTAATATATATAATTAAATACGGAAGAAAAAAGAAGTCATGAGATTATATTTTTTTGTTTGTGCTTTTTTATCACATAGAATAGTACAGTAAAATATGTTGGCATTAATTTGTGTTTTCTTGCGTTTGAATGAATAAAAATGTATTTATAGATATAACATTTCTAACTTGCTAGTATTCATTGTACTTCAATTAGTAAATGGTGTTTAAAAAAATTAAATGATATATATACTTTTACTTAAATACATGTATCATATTTTTAAATGATTTATCTCAAAAATTTGCATTTATTTAATTGTTTTTCTTCTTTTCATCTGGTTCAGTTAAATATTTAATTTAAGATTTTAATCATAATTTATTTAATACTTATTTTTTAATTTCAGGGAACTGTCTACTTCGATAAGACAGAAACACAGAAGAAGAAATTTTAAAAATTCTAATTACACTCAGACAAAATTACAATTACACTGAATCAACTTACACTCAGATTGAGTAAAATTAAATTTTTTTGGTGAAGATTTTACATAATTCCATTTTGAAATGATGCTTAGTTATGCTCTAATACCTTCCCATGGGAAGAATTTTTAGTCACAAGATAAATAACACTGTATAAAATGATTTAGTTTTAACCATAATCTACTTATAATAAACTTTCATTAATCATTTTTTTACATTACATTCTTTGTTACTATGGGAACTTCCTCATGACACTAAGCTTTAATTATTTTGAGTTAGATTCATTTTAAACAACCCGAAAGACAAGCTTACTTTCCTATTGTTACATTACCATGGCTATGGAAGATAGTGATGTGAAACAACTCTCTAGTCACGATCATGAAGGTAAGTGCCATAAAATTTTTTCTATCCCTTAATAATAAAATTTATATCTATCATCAAATCACTTTCTCAATAAAAATATTCATTAACATAATTTCGTAATTAAATGTATTTGAAAGGAAATTGAATTCAATAAATAGATTACACTGAAAATAATATTTTTTGTTTTGTTTTTTGTTGCATGGGATTTTTTTTAACAAATCTTATCCAGTGTTTATTTTCCCTCAGCAAAAACCATTTGATCCTAGAAAGCATGTAACCTTTCCGCAACCTTGCGTCGGAATTTTCTTTTATTGTCACGAAAATGTTTGTACTAAAAAACTTTTTTTAATAAAGCAAAAATATTGCAGTTTCAAACCTTTCATCCTAAAAGGATTAAAAATTAGTTTTAAAGATTTTTAAAGAAAGTATTGTCACTTAGGTAAAATGGTCATTTAGGTCTATAATGATGTTTTAGCTGACGTCACACTAGTGACAGGATCAAATTATATTGTCTACTAAAATTTTATGCCAAGGTTTATTTTAGCTGAGCATACAAGACGTTGCGAAAAGAAACCTTACAATTATCTAGATTTATGATTATTTTCACTTTGAGACTAGCTTTATTGATGGATTTTCTCGCGCTTAAAAACCCTAAGAAAACTTCGATTTTCAGGTTTTTATATGGACGGTTATTTTTCAAGGTTTTGGAATAAGGTAATGTGCGTAGAATAGAGCAGATTGTTACAGATCTCGTTTTAAGGTAAGAGGGTTTACACGTAAACCGCACAAAAAAACTTTTTAGGTTTACATTAAAAGATTTCTGCTGAGTGAAAATAAACCTTATTTTGCTATCTGGGAATGTAAACATAAAAAGATTTGATATACGGTTTACGTGCTAACCTTCTAACTTTAAGACGTGATCTGTGAACATCTGCTCTGTTCTACTCACATTACTCTAATCCAAAACCTTTGAAAACAACATTCTATATAAAAACCTTAAATCGAGGTTGACTTATTTCTGCTTTTTCAAGCAAGAAAAAATCCTTGAATAAAGCTAGTCTCAAGGAGAAAATAATCTTAAATTTAAGTAATTGAAAGGTTTCGTTTCACAACGTTTTGCTCAGCTGAAATCCATCTTGTCAGGAAATTTTAATGGGCAATGCAATTTGATCGGTAGTGTGACGTCAGCTAAAACACTATTATGGACCTAAGAGATCATTTTACCTCAGTGACAATACTTTTTAAAAAAGCTTTAAAAAATAATTTTTAATCCTTTTAGGATGAAAGGTTTGAAACTGCAATATTTTTCTTTTATCGGAAAAAGGTTTTTAGTACAAACATTTTCGTGACAATATAAAGAAAATTCCGAAGCGAGGTTGCCATAAGGTTACCTGCTTTCTGGATTAGATACTTTCATACCGCTGTTCTCAAATCTGCCATCGATCTCTCTTTCCACGCTAGTTTATTTCTAAAATGACGTTTTTAGTCCATTTTTTGACGAAATGTTAAACATTTATTGACGAAATGTTAAACATTAAATGTTTAAACATTTCATATGTAACAGGGGTCAAGTAAATTTTGTGAGAAATTTCTTTGGAAGTAAGGGCACATCATCAGGATTAAAATTACATAGAGATATATGTCTGGAGATGTTGCCTTACATCTAGGACCTTTCATGATGCCTTAGGGACGTTTTCCCTTTATGAACTGGTCATTTGTAGGCTTCTTAGCTAAACTCAGTGGCGCGACAGCCCATAGGGAGTCAAGACCTACTGTGCCCATCTCAGTTTCTTGACCTTAGGCTCTGGGGCGCAGGAGCAGATGTTTCGGTCAGGTGGTCAGCTGAACTCGGAACCCCCAGTGTTTAGTTCCCAAGCATGCTTGGTACTCATTTATCGACCCACTGAAGGGATGAAAGACTGAGTCAACCTTGCCCGGCCCGAGGATCGAACCAGGAACCTGTGGCACGACAGCGCGAAGCGCTACCGCTCAGCCACCGGGCGTCTTTTAGGCTTCTTAGCAGGTTATAGTTGGGACGCCCTCCTATCCGTGTACGACAACATTTTCATACATATGTTCCTATGAAATTTTGATACTGATGATGTGACCTAACTCCCCTAGAAACTTGTCTCAAAATTTACGTGACTCCCTGCTACATATAACTCTTTTAAACGTGTTCATTTCGGCAAAAAATAGACTAAAAATGTCATTAAAAAAACTGTAGCTTTAGTATTTCAAATTGGTATCTGTATTTCGAGTTTGGAATACTCACACCTGACGTAGAAAAGAATAGGATTTTGTATGAATGCTACAAAAACCAGAGTTGTCTTTTTATAACTGCTAATAACAATTGTTAAAAAAATCCAGAGCCTTTAAATGGTTATTCGTCGCTAGCATTCCAAACATTTTTTTTTAATTTTTACAAAATATTTTATTTTAAATAAAAAGTGCCAATTATGTATTGACTGATAATTGTGTTATAATGTTTTGAACTTGTAGAGAGACATATAGAGGGAAAGAAAAATATCCTAGAAGTATTAAAATATTACAGATCCTGGCCAAATTATTAGACGCAGTATAAGATTCTATGTAAAATTAATTTCAATTATCATACGCTACAGTTTTACAATATACTATACCAGTGTTTCTCAACCTGTGGGGCGCGCCCCCCTAGGGGAGCGCGACCATACTAGAGGGGTGGCGCGAGAATATTCGAGAAAAAATATTATTTAAAAATTTGATTAACTGGATGAAGGGAAATCGCACATACACATAGAAAACAAAATACATTTCGACATATTTAATAACTTACTAAAGTGAAACAACTTATTAAATCAAAACTTAAGGTGGGGCGCCAAGGGTGACTTTGCTTTGAGGATTTTTCCTAATTTTCTGATTAAGTCTGTGAGGCTGAATTTTTCGCTAATATCTTACTCCTATCTCTAATATATACCATGTATACTTTTAATTGTAAAATAAAATTTCATTTATTTTATAGTACAATTTCAAAATTGTAGTTTCTGCGCCTAAATTTTCCCTCAGGTTCCAAAGGTGAGCCAGATGAAGAAATCACTTTTTCATTTACTCAAATTATCTTCAGAAAAAGCATTTGGACTGGCAAGCGCTTTTTAAAAAGGCTTGCTGGATGGAACAAGTTTCCCGACTATAAAAAAGATATTTGTTTTTAGAGTGTATAATTTGTTTATTGATTTTACATTAATAGTTCTTGTGTGAAGTCACTAGAGATTCTCTTGAGTTAACTCCTTAGAATTAATCAAGAATTTCTGAGTTGATTTTTTCAAAGGATTAACTAACACGAGTTAAATAACCATAATAGAGTTAACTAACCTAACCCATAACTAGTATAAAAATACTCAAATTTACAAGAAAATACCAGAATCGACCACAAAAACACTCATAATCACCACAAAAATTAAAAAATACCTGAAAAATTACTTTAAAAT